AGGGACCGCGGTTCAATCCCCCAGCACCACATGCCAGCCAGCCCCGCCCCCTGGTGGGCTGAACTGGCCACACACACAAAATAAATAAATAATAAATCAACTGATTCTTAAAAAAAGACAATCCACAAATTTCAAAAAACTCTTAACTAATAAACACTCAGACAAAGGTTTGCTCTCTAGAATTTATAAAGAACTAAAGAACATTAGGGCCCCTAAATGTAAAGACCCAACCCTGGGGCCAGGGAGATGGCTCAAAGGAATAAGCACTTCCCTGGCAAGCGCAATGGCCTGAGTTCAATCCCTGGTTCCGCAAAAAAAAATAAATAAATGAAATAAAAAATAAAAGACCCAATCCAGAAATGGGCATCTGAGATGAACACACACTTCTCAGAGGATGAAGTTAAAGCGAATAAACATATGAAAACATGCTCATCACTAGCCATCCCTGAAATGCAAATTAAAACAACATTGAGATACCATCTCACCCCAGAAACAATGGCTATCATAAACAAATCAACCAACAACAAATGTTGGAGAGGCTGTGGGGAAAAGGGAACCCTTCTCCACTGCTGGTGGGAGTGTAGACTGGTGCAACCACTATGGAAATCAGTACAGAGACTCCTTAAAAAACTAGGACTGGAAATCCCATTCAAGCTTGCTATCCCCCTACTGGGAATTTTCCCGGAGGAACTGAAAGGGTCATACCATAGTGATTTATGCATACCTATGTTTATAGCAGCACAATTTGTGATAGCCAGATCTTGGAAACAACCAAGATGCCCGTCACATGTGGAATGGCTGAAAAAGATGTGGTATTTTATACAATGGATTATTACTCAGCTATAAAGAATGATAAACTCGAAGCCTTCATATTTAAGTGGATGCCACATGAAGATATACTTATAAGTAAAATAAACCAGATCCACATGTGTAAATATCGTATTGTCTCCCTAGTATAAGAACTCAAAAGAAGAATTACGTATAGAAAGGCACAACACAAATAAAAGGAAAGCAGGGGCTGGGGAGATAGCTCAGAGGAATAAGCGCTTCCACGGCAAGCGCAAGGACCTGAGTTCAATC